TCTAACTTAACTAGAACAGAAAACTCAGAAATTTTTCTAAGACTTGTTTGGTTTTATTTCTGTTTTGTTAGGAAGATTGAAGAGAACGAAATGAACAATTTTTAAGAGAAAAGTCTAAGAAAGTTTTTACAAAATTAGAAGTTGTCACCAAAAATTCCAATTTTTTTTAGAATGTTTGGACTACCTTGAAACTAAATTTTAAATTTCTCAAAAAACATGAGTTTTGGGCTTTTTACTAAAACTTGCTAAATTTTAGAAGAAAAAACAGAAATGAGAAAAGATTCAGACTTTTTTATTCTACTCAATTTGAAATTTAGAAAATTTGTATTGAAGAAAAAACAATTTTTCAAAAAAAACTTTTTGTAGAATTTTTGTACTTTTCAAATTGGTCTAAGAGTTCTTAAAAGGTAGCCCAAAATTAGAAACTTTATTTATTAGAAGCGAAAAATAAAAATATTTACAAGTTTTCAACTTCATTCTAGTTCTAGTTGGTAAAAATCCGAAGACAATTTCTGTTACAAATTTCTTCCCATTTCTAATGTTAAAGATAGAAGCAAAAAGAGAGTTAAAAATCTTTAAGAAATTTAGGGAGATTTGATAATTTTAATTCTTTTGCAAGTGAAGTTTCCTACTTCAAATTAGCATAAATACGGAGAATCAGAAATTTCTGGAAACCTTGCGAGGTTTTATTTCTGATTCTGTTTTAGAACTTTGAGCTTTAGCCAAACGTTGAAGAGAAAGAAATGAACAATTTTCTAACCAAAACGGAAGCTTTTAAGAAATTCAGAAATTTCTGACAAAAACACTACTGTCAATGCAAAATTTTATTATCCTTCATACAAATCCAGTCAAATTTTTTCTACAACTCCGCAAGTGCCACTGGTTTGACCTGGGCTTGAATCCTCTCCCTAATCCTCCTTGCAAACTCCTCATCAACATTAGCAAAATTTCTAATTGCCCTTTCTTGCAAAAAATCAGCGGCATTTTTCAACCAATTGACAATATTATTAACCAATCTGTCCTTTTCATCCTCCTTCAAAACCCGATGGTACAACAACCTGGCTTGCCCATAATTATCCCAATCCTCCCCTCCATTATCATACCTCCCAGCATTCCCCACCACTGGCAAAAGGGGCGAAAGGGCAAGGGCCCTTTTATCATTATCCGGCCCCCCGAAACTATTCGGATGGTAATTGGGGGCCCCTCCTTGACTATCCAAAGTCGCAAACCCATCCCTGCTGAAATTATGAAGCTTGAAGGGGCTATTGACCGGCAATTGCAGATTATTAGCCCCCAAACGGTACCGTGCGGTGTCCCCATAATTGAAAAGCCGGCCCTGGAGCATCCTATCGGGCGAGGGTTCAATCCCTGGGATTAAATGGGCAGGATCGAAGGCCATTTGCTCGACTTCGGCGAAATAGTTTTTGGGATTGCGGTTGAGGACGAGTTTGCCCACTGGGATTAAGGGGTAGTCGGCATGGAGCCAGACTTTGGTGACGTCGAAGGGGTCCCATGGGTGCTTTTCGGCCTGTTCGGGGGTCATTATCTGGATGTAGAAGGACCATGATGGGTAGTTTCCTGTCGCAATGGCGTTGTAGAGGTCGCGGATGAGGTAGTCGGGGTCTTGACCCGCGATTTGGGTGGCTTGGTCCGCGTCGAGGGTACCAATGCCTTGGTCAGTAATGTAGTGGAATTTGCAGTAGAAGAATTGACCAAATTCGTTGACAAAACCGAAGGTGTCGGCCCCATAGCCGTGCATATGGCGGTAACTGTTGGGGATTCCTAAGAAATCGATTTCTAGAATTTCTACTCTAGATTTCAATTGGGAGTTTCTTAGATTCAAAACACCAAAAAATTTCTGTTTCTGATAAGGTTTAACAGTCGAAGAAGAATTCTAGATTCTAGAATTCTAGTTTGCTAAAAAAGTTCTCTCTAGAATTGTCAATTACTAAGAATCTAAGGTTTTAAAACCTTGATTCTACGTTTCTAGACAATAAATTTTTAAATCCCATGAAATACAATTAAAAAAATTAAAAAATTGTTAAGATTCCAGCTCTTGAATTCTTTTTAATTCTAGGCTTCTGGAATTGAAACTTGCAAAACGTGAAATTTTGAATTCCAAGTTTCATAGAGTTTGTTGTTTCCAAATCTACTTTCTAATATTTCTGTCTCAAAATTCTAGATATAGAATTTTTAAACTTGTTCTAAAATATCATTCTTTATGATTCTGGATTTGTAAAAAAAATTCTAACAAAAAATTCTGTTATAGAATTCTAATCTTCTGACTTTACTTCTAGATTTCTAGAGTTTAACACTAAATTTTAGATATCAAAAATTATAAATCTTGATTAGAGGAGTATTTTGGGTTTCTAAGAAGTTTTCTGTTTCTGGGTTTCCACAATTGAAGAAGAATTTTAGATTCTATAATTTTAGTTTGCTGCTAGAATTGTCAATTTCTAAGAATCTTAAACCTATTCTTTGAAGATTTTAGAACCCTGATTCTACATATCTAAACAATAAAATTTTAAAACTTCAAGAAATACGATTCGAGAAATTAGTGATCTTTAAAATTCCAGCTCTTAGAATTGAGATTTAAAAAATATGAAATTTTAGAATTCCAAATTTTCTAGTTCTAGAGTAATAATTTAGACGAGCTTTAAGTTTGTTGTTTAAAAGTCTAGTTTCTAATTTCTGGCTCAAAATTCTAAATATGGAATTTTTAAACTTGTTCTAAAATATCAAACTTTAATATCCTAGATATGTAAAGATTTCTAACAAAAATTTGTGGTATTGAATTCTAATCTTCTAAGAATCATATAATTTTTTTATGTTCCTCGTACTTTATTTCTAGATTTCTAGAGTTTAACATTAAATTTTAGAATTCGAAAATTATGAATTCTAAGACTAAAATTTTCGTTTTATAAGATTTTGAAATTTTGCAAATTTGTCAAGAATCTAGAATTTAATCTTTGAAGATTTTAAAACCTTGATTCTTTATTTGTAGACAATAAAATTCTAACATTTCAAGAAATACGATTCAAGAAATTAGAAATATTTAAAATTCTATCTCTTGATCTCTTTTTAGGCTTCAAGAATTAAAACTTGCAAAATGTTTTTCGTAATCTAGTTTCTAACATTCTGATTCTACGTTTCTATGTTCCAAATTCTAGAAATATTTACTGTTCTGAAACATTAAATTTTAAGATTCAAGGTTTGTGAGAATTTCTAACACAAATGTATGGTATTTAATTGTAATATTTTGTGAATTTTATTTTCTGTGTTTCTTAGACTTAATTTCTACATTTCTCAAGTTTAACACTAAATCCTAAAATTCACAAATTATGAATTCCTGATAAAATTCCAAGTCAAAAATCCTTGTTTTCTGAGATTCTAGAATTTTGCAAATTTCTTATTCTAAAACTTTGACCCACATTTCTAAAATTGAAAGTTCTAAAATATTCCGTTTTAGAATCTCCATTTTTGCAAATCTAAGTTTCTAGAGTTATAAATTTCCAAAATTTTTACCTTCAACTTTTTAAACTAAACCCCAAATTTCTAAACTTCTAGATTTCTAAAACTCAATTTTACAAGATCCAAGTTTCTAGAATTATGGACTTGCAAATGCACGCACCAAAGTTGGAAATTCTATAAATTCTGGGTTTGTGAAGTAGAAATTTCTGAATTCTGGTTTCCATTCCACAATTTTGTATCATTCTGAAATTTAAAAACTTTAAATCTTTGATATTTTGGCGTTTCTAAGATAAAATTTGGTCATTTTAAGATTCCAAAATTCGAATTCTAGATTCTAGAATTCTATAAATATCAATTTTTTTTAAAAACTATACATTCCATAGTGTTCTACTATTAACTTCAAATTTTCACATTTTTGCGAATTTTTTTTTTGGTATTTCTACGCAATTTGGGATTTCTGGAATTCCCAAAACCGGGAATTGGGTCACTCACCCCTATCCGAGAAAAACACGAGCGTCTGATGGGTCGACTCCGGCCTCAGGGAAATAAAATCCCAAAACATGTCAAAATCCGGCCTCAAATGCGTCACAGGATTCCGTTTCAAAATATGAATAAAACTGGGAAAAAGGGCACAATCCCTCACAAAAAACAAGGGAGTATTATTCCCGACCAAATCCCAAATCCCATCCTCGGTGTAAAACTTCACGGCAAATCCCCGAATATCCCTCACAGTATCAGGGTACCCCATTTCCCCCGCCACTTGGGAGAACCTCACAGCGATGGGCGTTTTCTTGCCCACATGGGCGAAAACCTTGGCGGCGGTGTACTGGGTGATGTCATGGGTGACCTCGAAGTACCCGAAAGCCCCAGCACCCTTCGCATGGACCACCCTTTCCGGGATTCGCTCCCGACTGAAATGGGCGAGTTCGTCGATTAGTACCCAATCCTGGAACAAGGTGGTACCTTTTTTGCCCACGGTGAGGGTGGCGTCTTTGTAGGTGATGGGGTTGCCCGAGTTGGTGGTGGCCGACTCACGATCCTCGTGCTGGAACCATAAAAAAAATTTTTTTTCAAAAAGTGGTACCCAAAAATGGTACCTCGATTTTTTTGGCGTGTTCGAGGAGTTGGTTTGCGGCCGGTTGGCGAATTCTGATTGGTTTAAGTTCAGACATCTTGACTTTCACTTGTTAAAGCAATGAAACCCTCGTTAGATATTTATAATAAAATTTTATCAAAATTAAAGGAAACCAACAATTTTTTTCATTTTTTAATTTTTTATTTAGAGGAATTTATTTTGTTAATTTATTTGTGTGTTGTGTAAACAAACCTGATTAGATTATTACTTATTTAAACCACAAAATAACAAACATGCGATTATTACTTATTTTTATAGTTTTTGGTAATCCCAGAAACGGTACTACTAAGTGTCAAAAATTTGTCAAAAAATTGTCCCAAAATCAAAAAATGGAAATTTGTCGTTGTGAAGAGTACAGACAAGTCGTCGCAAATTTCAAATTTTTCACAATGGGTACTTTGCACCACCTGGAACCACGTGAAAAAATCCCAGAAAATGGTACCATCAAATGGGTGAAAAACAAAGCGTCTTATGATGACCCACGATGTACTAAACCCGTTTTAATCCGGAGAAATGCTCCTAAAGGGTCAAAAATTACGACAGATTTGGAAACAAAATGGATTCCGGTACTACCAGGTCTAATTTCGCAAAAAATTGTCAATGAGAATAATACCATGAAAGGTCTTTTGGTGTAATTTTGTAAAAGAGTGAATAAATGTGTAGAAACGCATAAAATAAATTTTAGAAACATTTTGTGTTTGAATATATTTGATAAGGGCAGAGGCACTTGTCGGGGGCTTAGTGGTGCAGCGACCAAAAATCAAAATTTTTTGATTTTTATAAAAAATTGGTCCTATATGTAAAATTTGACGGAGAATACGTCTGTATAAACGGTTTTGTCCTCGGACTTATAGTTTTTAAGATATGACTTTTTTTTTTAAACCTAAAAATGGCTTTGTACCCGGAACCATAAAAAAATAGATAATTTTAAGCTAATTTTATTTTATTAAAACTATCTGATTCTAGAACATTAAATCTTTCTAGAGTTGAGATTTTAATTTCTAAGATTCCAAACTCGATAATTTTCAACATTCTGAAATTTCTAAATTATAGAATTCAAAATTTTAAATCTAGGTTTTAAGGTTTTATATTCTACTATTCTATATTACCGATTCTTAAACATTTTGTAATAAAATTTAGAAACGTTGAGTTCTTGTTTTTAAAATTGCTAGAATTTCACGTTTCTATTTTTTTAAAGTACAATTTCCACGATTCTAATTTCTAATTTTCTAAATTTTATTATTTCGATTTTAGAAACTTTTAGAATTTTAAAATTCCTAGTTAAACTCTATCCTATTTTTTAAATTTTAGAATCTAAATTTTTACATATAGGTTTGGATGGTTTAATATTTCCTACTCTAAAACGAAATACTTCTATAGAATTTTTTGTAGAAAATTTGTACTTGATGAATTCTAGTTTCTAATATAGCAGATTTTACTATACATTTCTAAAATTTAAAATTTAAAACTATTTGATTCTAGATTTCTGATCTAAGATTCAAATTTTTAAAATTAAAAACTTAATGATTTTGTTTTTAGAAGTTTGCTTTTAAGAATAATAAATACCAAAAAATTCTATAAACAGTCTGAAATTTCTAAATTCTAGAATTCAAAATTTCAAATCTAGGTTTCAAGGTTTTGTATTTTAGAATTGTAAATTACCGAACATTCTGTAATAAAATTTATACTTGTTGAATTCTAGTTTTAAAATAGCAAGTTTCTAGATTTTTATGGCTCCATAATTCTCTAGAAATAAAGGTTTTCAGAATCTTTCAACTTTATTTCTACATTTCTAGAATTCAAAGTTCGTAAGACAGTTGGTAGCACTGATGATTTTTTTAACCATCCTGCGATTTTAAGACAGTCTACAAAAGTTCTAAAATCTGAAACTTCAATTCTACAATTGGCTTTTTTCTACATTTCTAGAATCCCAAGTTTAAAACTATTTTATTCTAAAATCATAAATTTGTCCTTGTTGTCTTTGTTTTTAAAATAGCAGATTTTTAGAATTCAAAATTTAGATTTAGAGGTTTTATATTCTAGTATTTTAAAGCTCTAGAAATCTCTAGAAATAAAGGATTTCAGGATTTTTTAACTTTATTTCTCTATTTCTAGAATTCTAGAACTTAAAATCTAACAATTCGAGATTTCTATATTTGTCAAGTGTTATTGTTGAGTCCTTGTTTTTAAAATTTCTAGCATTTCTAGAATTTTACGATTCTAGTTCTTCAAAGTAAAATTTCCACGACTTTAATTTCTAATTACCTAAACTTGATTATTTGGATTTTGGAAAATTTTAGAATTTTAACAATTTTTTTTTGTATATGATAGAATTCAAATAAATTTCAGAAAATTCTACAAACGTTCTGACATTTCTAAATTCTAGAATTCAAAATTTCAAATCTAGTTTCCAAGATTTTGTATTCTAGAATTCTAAATTACCAAACATTCTGTAATAAAGTTTATACTTTTTGAATTCTATTTTTAAAGTAGCAAGTTTCTAGATTTTTATGGCTCTATAAATCTCTAGAAATAAAAATTTTCAGAGTTTTTTACTTTAATTCTACATTTCTAGAACTCGACTTCTAATTTTTCTAATCCAAACTTGATTTTTAGAAACTTATACGAAATTTCTAGCATTCAAATTTTCAAAATAACTACAAAAAAAAGCATAAAAATTGTATTTGAAATTTCCCAAACGTAACCTTAAATTTTAGGGGTTTGCTAATTATATTTGCAATTATGAATACACCAAATGAAAGATCTCGATTTCGTGTTTTAATTTTCTGTTTCTAATATTTTGAAAATAAATCTCTAAAAATTAAAGTTTTACCGTCTTTTGGCTTTTTATCTACATTTCTAGATTTTCAAGTTAATCTTATTCTAGAACTCTAAATTCTAAAATTTTATATTTCTATAATGCTATTATATTACATTTGTACTTGTTAAGTTCTTGTTTTTAAAATAGCAAATTTCTAGAATTTCATGTTTCTATACATTTCTAGAATTTAGTTTAAAACTATCAGATTCTAGAACTTTAAATCCTACAACTCTAGATTTCTAAAGTTAAGACTTGAATTTATAAGATTCCAAACTCGATATTTTTTTTAATTCTGCAAATATTCTGAAATTTCCAAATTCTAAAATTCAAAAATTTAAATCTAGGTTTCAAGGTTTTCTATTCTAGTATTCTAAATTACCGATTCTTAAACATTTTGTAATAAAATTTAGACATGTTTAGAGTCGGATTTATATTTTCCATATTTTTGACTTTATCACAAATTTTCTAGATAACTATTTATCGTAGAACACTGATCTTTTTTGTAGATGATAGAAAATTAAATTTTCTTTCCAACGGTACCAAACATAAGAGGTTATCACCAATAAGTTCGGAGTTATTGGCAATTGACCAAAAATCGACCAAAATCACGACAAAAATCAAAAAATATAAAATTTCAAAATTGATCGAAAAACGTTGTAGAAACGCAAAAATTATTTTTTCTGTCCGATATAAAGTAATATAATTTAAAAAACTTAAACATTTTTACTTTTTATTAATTAAAAAAAAATTGTCACACAAGTTCTAAATTCTAAAATAAAAGTTCTAAATCAATTTTTAATGAAAACATTTAACATTTTAGTTTCTCACACTAAACCCACCTTTGCGTCGTATTTCCTGAAATCGACTTCATCCTGAAAACTCCCTGAAAGCCACCTTAATCCCCCACCTCCCCCTCATTCCTGCTTCCCTATTCCCCGAATCCGGCGCTGAGCTCCCACGCCTCCGCCGGTTTATCTTTTAACCCTCCCTTTGATCCATCAGCGTCGCGACGCCTCCTCTTCCACCACCTCCTACCTCCCTGTCACTCCAGACGCCTTTCGCGTGAAAGCACCGCGACGCTTTCAACCCCCCCCCCTCCACCGTCTTTTCTAATCGGAAATCATTCAAACAGCGACGAAATGAATTGATTGGAGGGGTGCAATGGCGTCGACGCCATCTATTCGGTTGAAAATATTGGAAAGGAACAGGGTGGTAGGAGTGGGGAGGGGTGGTTTTTGGGCACCGCCATTGGCTCTCGAGTCGGTTATCGGAAATCGTTGCCGAAAAGGCGCTGCAGAGGTCTGACAACCAATGGAATTACGAGACTTGGGGTTAGAGTATGGAAAGTATTGGAAAATGACAGGGTTACAGGAACCAGCGGGGGCGAGGGATGGGACCCTCAAGTCGATAAAGTCTCATTATTTACATTACCAAAGAAATTAAGAGTTTTTTTCGCAAGATAGTTGGTAGCACTGATAATTTTTTTAAGACACAAAAGTTCTAAAATCTGAAACTTGAATTTTTTTTTAACTCAAATTCGTGTTCTAATTCTTCTGTTTRTAATATTTTCAATATACTGTCTTTTGGGAAGTTTAAAATATTTTATTCTAGAATCATAAATTTGTCCTTGTTGTCTTTGTTTTTAAAATAGCAGATTTCTAGAATTTTATGTCTCTATACGTTTCTAGAATTTGAAGTTTAAGTAGCAAGTTTTATTTTTATGGTTCCATAAGTCACTAGAAATAATAGTTTACTTTATTTCTTCATTTCTAGAATTCAAAGTTGAAAACTACTTGATTCTAAGAACCTAAATCTCACGATTCTAGTTTTTTCTAATTAAAAGTTTCACGGTTTTAATTTCTAATCTTTCAGACTAGATTATGTATTTCAATTTTTGAAACTTTTAGAATCTCAGATTTCAGAAATCTGTAGAAAATTTTTAGCATTCGGTTTTAAAATCCCTAGTTATTTTTTGACATTCTTAAATTCTAAAATTCAAATAAATTTCAGAAAATTCTACAAACGTTCTAACATTTCTAAATACTACAATTTAAAATTTCAAATCTAGTTTNATTTCTAGAATTTTATGTCTCTATACGTTTCTAGAATTTGAAGTTTAAGTAGCAAGTTTTATTTTTATGGTTCCATAAGTCACTAGAAATAATAGTTTACTTTATTTCTTCATTTCTAGAATTCAAAGTTGAAAACTACTTGATTCTAAGAACCTAAATCTCACGATTCTAGTTTTTTCTAATTAAAAGTTTCACGGTTTTAATTTCTAATCTTTCAGACTAGATTATGTATTTCAATTTTTGAAACTTTTAGAATCTCAGATTTCAGAAATCTGTAGAAAATTTTTAGCATTCGGTTTTAAAATCCCTAGTTATTTTTTGACATTCTTAAATTCTAAAATTCAAATAAATTTCAGAAAATTCTACAAACGTTCTAACATTTCTAAATACTACAATTTAAAATTTCAAATCTAGTTTRCAAGATTTTGTATTTTAMAATTCTAAATTACTGAATAATAAGGTTTATACTTTTTGAATTCTATTTTTAAAGTAGCAAGTTTCTAGATTTTTATGGCTCTATAAATCTCTYGAAATAAAGGATTTCAGAATTTTTCAACTTTATTTCTCTTTTTCTWGAATTCTAGAACTTAAAATCTGACAATGCGAGATTTCTATATTTGTAAAGTGTTATTGTTGAGTCCTTGTTTTCAAAATTTCTAGCATTTCTAGAATTTTACGATTCTAGTTCTTCAAAGTAAAATTTCCACGACTTTAATTTCTAATTACCTAAACTTGATTATTAGGATTTTGGAAAATTTTGAAATTTTAAAACTCCTTGTTAACCTATCTTA